TACATTCTGCTGATTGTCTACGTGGACGATCTTCTCTACATCGGCTCTACCGACGGCATCACCACCTGGTTCGAAGGGGAGCTGCAGAAGGACCTCACCCTCACTGTCTCATCTACCGTCACACAGTACCTCGGACTTAACATTCGAGAAGATAACGACGCGATCTACCTCAGCGCCGAAAAGTACGCCGACACCATCGCCAAACGATTCGGAATTACGCCAGCCGCGATCTCAACACCATACCGCTACACGACAGGAGCCGATAAGGAATCTGCCCCACTTAAGCCCGCCGGCATACGCGACTATCAGAGGAAGCTAGGTTGCCTCCTCTTCGCAGCCGTCACTTGCCGACCCGACCTATCCTACTCCGCAAGCCAGCTCGCCACTCATCTCAAGAAGCCTGAAGCAGAACACCTGGCGGAACTTGACCACGCTCTGCACTACTTCATCAGCACCGCGACGATCGGCCTAACTTATCACAAGAACGCAGCTACACCAACCAAGCTAATCGGCTACGTCGATGCCGATCACGCCGGCGACACTGACAACAGGCGCTCACGCACCGGCTATGTCTACCGCCTCGAGCCTATCGGTCCTATCTCCTGGCAGTCGAGCAAGCAGGAGTTAATTGCACTATCTTCAGCCGAAGCAGAATATATCGCGCTCTGCTCAGCCACCAAGGAGGGACTTTACCTTCGCGAGCTGCTGGAAGAAGCGAAGTTAGCCGAGTTACCCAACTTCACCGTGTTCTGCGACAACCAGTCAGCAATTCGTATCGCCAACAAGAACGGCTTCGCGAACAGGACGAAACACATCGCCCTGCGTTACTTCTTCGTAAAGGACGAGATCGAGAAAGGGAGACTCGAGCTATCGTACTGTCCCACGTCTGAGATGGCAGCTGACTACTTGACCAAGAAGCTCGGAAAACAGAAATTCGAGTACTGCATGCTGCTGACTGGACAAAGCCACGTCATCAGCAGCGACACTCCAGAAGCGAAGGGGAGTGTTGGAAACAATAAAACTTAAGCGCTTCAGTCGTGTCGAAACACCGCACCAGAAGCGAGGCAAACTACACCGAAGCACCCGCGAGTCAACCCTCGGAGGTTAAAAGAGGTTGCTGGAGGTTACGCAAAAGTCAAAGGTCAGCAACCTTTGACCCGACAAGTACAGCGCGACAGTTAAGGACATACAACTGACTCGTTACAGAGCAGTTGCCCGAGTCGTACTGTATCGAACCGCAACAGCAACAGTAAAAGTAGTTATAACTGTATCCTTTGATATTCCTTGCACTACTATATATTCTTGTACTTTCCTGTTATAATTAATCTACTTTGCCCTCACATACTAGCGCAAGGTGGTTCACAATTTCTTCACTGAAAGCTTCCGCTGTTACAATACTATCCTACCCAGAGTTACTCCTGAAAAGATCCTAAGGGGCCATTTCAGCCCAACATGCAAGACTCCTAATCTACATTCTGTGAGTTCGGGATTTCCAAAGCTACGGTACTCACAAGTATGGCATCTAGCATCTTTTTTAAGCACACTTAGCTCGCAGAAACACGTCTTTTGCCATGGTAAAAAAAATGAGGCTGTGACTGTGAGTCCACTCCACCTATGAGGAGAAGCCTTTTTTCTTTTGTCAATTTACCAATGTCCACCGCAGAACTGACACGAGGGACTTCTGATCTGAAAATATAAGCCAGGATTGCCATTATAACGGCTTGGGCATGGTATACACAATACATGGGGTTTCCTTATTGTGATCCACCGAATACAACGAAACCTCCCCAGGGTTCCCTGAGCCAAGTTTCTTGACCTCGCGATTTGCTCCTAGCCAACATTACGGGCCCCGAACCGAACCTGCGTTGCTTTGCCCCGTGCCGCCGCTGCCCGTACCACACTAACCGTAACAAGAGTAGCTTCGGCATAAGGACGTGGTTGCAGTTCAGGCCGACCCGAGTGCGATTGCGTCAGATTGGGGCAATCGACCATCTCCAAGAAGCCGCAGGGGTATTTTGATGCAAGCGCATGCAATCGGGGGCAATCTGTCGATTGCAATCGGCAATTTGATCGATCGCGATCGATCGCAATGATCTGACGCAATCTCTTGCAATCGATTGCAATCGAGAGATTGCCTCAGATCGTGGGGCCTGGCGACAGTTGCGAACGGTTACTTCCTTTGATTCGACACTGCTCGCAGCACCATCGGATATCGTGATATTGCAGCATGGAAGGTTCGGGAACCCAGAAAGGGGCTACACTGTAATTGCGCGATACAATTTTTCCCCAGGTGTCGCCAACTTCGCATTGAAGGGACGGGGGAACAGCCTAGAGCCCGCGCGGCTAATTCTCACTTCTTCGAAATTCATCGTTTGAACGCGTGGCTCAGGACGCAATCGACAGATTGCCTCAGATTGGGGCAATCCCACCCAAACCGATCCGACTACCCGATTGTCCGATCTGATGCGATCGATCGCCCGATCTGCACCACGTCCTAACCTAGTTTCGGAAACCGAACCTCCCTTGCTCAGTGTTTGTTGTGAGCGTGCGTTGCAGGGGTCAAACGGTAACACCATAATTGTACGCAGCAGCGTGCCGTGTCAAATGCACCGCATAACACAGCATAGCACCACATATCACCCCGTGGCATCGCACAAAACAGGCTAAAGCACCAAACCTAGACAGCCGTCTCACTCAGCGACCGCAGCGCAGTCGACGGGCGTTAGCGGACGCGTCACATAATTGCGTCACCGAACAATGGTGCACCCCGGCCTGCAGCTGTGCCGCGGTATGGACCACCAACGTCATGCCATGAGGCACGAGGCAGTGCTAGGCTGGTTTCTCGTGATATACTTGCATGCAGTCCGGGACGTCAGTTCGCCGTTATTGGTATTATATCCGCAGGGCGAGCTCTGGTTCAAATTCGATTTAGTCACGAACAGTGGTAAGAAACTGAGCGGGAGTTACAGTACATCGCCTGATCTCGATATAGCGTTACCTCGTTACTATGGAATTCAGCGATGCGATTTACCGTGGCAGCGACCTAGGCCGGCGGGAACCGTCGCCAAATCACACGCGCGCGCGCCGCCGGCACGGAGAATGCTCTCTGCGGCCGACAGCGCGCGTCAAGGGCCTTGCAAGGGGCGCGCGCCAAAACCTCTCCGTCATCATCTGCAGCACCCCTTGTGCGCTTCCCGCGCGCTTCGCGCGCCTCGAGCTCCTTGCGCGCCTTGCGCTCGTCGCGCTGCTTGCGCTGCTGCAGTCCCCCCCGTGCCGAGGCTTCCCCGCGCCGCCAGCAGCGTCCGCCGCGGCGGCGCCGCCAGTCGTTCCCCCGCCTCCGGCGCCAGTCACCCCTGACACTCAAGGTACGGGGAGACTGGGGGGTGGGGGAGAGGTGGGATTGGGGACAAGGTGGTGGGGGAGGGGAAAAATTGGTGGTTTGCTGCAGTGTCTGGCAGTCGCGGCAGCCCAGCAAAGGTCAGGATGTTGTTGGGTGTGGGCGGCATTAGGCGTTAGTGGGCGGCAACAGGCGGTAGTGGGCGGCAACAGGCGGTAGTGGGCGGCAATAGGGGGTAGTGGGCGGCAATAGGCGGTAGTGGGCGGCAACAGGCGGTAGTGGGCGGCAATAGGGGGTAGTGGGCGGCAATAGGCGGCAGCGGGCGGCAATAGGCGGCAGCGGGCGGCAATAGGCAGTAGCGGGCGGCAATAGGCGGTAGCGGGTGGCAATCGGCGGTAGTGGGTGGAAATAGGCGGCAGTGGGCGGCAATAGGCAGTAGTGGGCGGCAATAGGCGGTAGTGGGCGGCAATAGGCGGTAGTGGGCGGCAATAGGCGGTAGTGGCGGCAATAGGCGGCAGTGGGCGGCAGTAGGCGGTAGTGGGCGGCAATAGGCGGCAGTGGGCGGCAATAGGCGGTAGTGGGCGGCAGTGAGCAGGTCAAGGAAGGGGAGGGAGTGGGATGAAACGGAAGGGGATGGGAGTGAATGAGATTGAATGGGAGGGAAGGAATGATAGGGATTGAATGTTATTGACGGAATGTGAGGGAGGAATTGGAAGGGAGCGAGTGGGATAGAGGGATTGGGAGAGAGCGAATGGGATTGAGGGATCGGGAGGGAGGAATGGGATTAAGGGATTGGGAGGGAGGAATGGGAGGGAGGGAATGGGATTTAGCGAATGGGAGGGAGGGAATGGTAGGGAGGGAATGGGGGGGAGAGAATAGGAGGGAGGAAATGGAAAGGAATGCATTGTTGTGAATAAATTCAGGGGGAACAATCAAATGGGCCAGGCACTGAAGCATGAAGGTCCGATCGACAGAGTCTGGGGGCAGGGGCATCGATTATGATTGTCCACCGCCGATTATCCATCGCGCCTGCCAGCCTTCACGGGCCTTCACTTGGGCAAAGCGCCACATGCCGCCCTGCAGGCTGCAACTCCCTCTGCCATGCAATTCCCATGTTTGAATTCACTGCATCCCCCCCCGCGCCCCCACTTTCTTCCCCCCCCACCGTCGCCCCCACCCAGTGCTGGCGAGCCTGGCGAGGGACTGGCAGATGAGGTTTGGGGAGGCCGTGGACGTGGCAGCGTGGGTGAACGCAAGTGACGTGTGCACGCTCAACGACCCGCGCATCACATGCTCGTCCAATGGCGCCGCTGTCGTTGCCCTGTGCGTGCATGCCATCTCATGCCCTCCCATGCCCTGCCATGACCTCACATGACTCGCATTGACATGCTACGTGACAACATCCCATGCCATCTTATGCCACATTGCCATGACACGCCATGCCATGCCATGTCATGCCATGCCATGTCACATCATATATATTCGGCAACCCCTGTGCCCGCACCCCTTGTGCTGCCAGGCGCCTGTCACAGGCCAACATTAGAGGCGAGATGCCAGCTGACATCGGCAATCTCACCGCCCTCACCGCTCTGTACGCCTCCCCACCACACGCCTCTCTTGGACTCCCAATCCTCTCTCCACTCTTCCACTCTCCACACCCCTTTCATTCTCCACAACCCACATTGTTCTCCACACCCCGCATTGTTCTCCACACCCCGCATTGTTCTCCACACCCCGCATTGTTCTCCACACCCCGCATTGTTCTCCACACCCCGCATTGTTCTCCACACCCCGCATTGTTCTCCACACCCCGCATTGTTCTCCACACCCCGCATTGTTCTCCACACCCCGCATTGTTCTCCACACCCCGCATTGTTCTCCACACCCCGCGTTGTTCTCCACACCCCGCGTTGTTCTCCACACCCCGCATTGTTCTCCACACCCCGCATTGTTCTCCACACCCCGCATTGTTCTCCACACCCCGCATTGTTCTCCACACCCCGCATTGTTCTCCACACCCCGCATTGTTCTCCACACCCCGCATTGTTCTCCACACCCCGCATTGTTCTCCACACCCCGCATTGTTCTCCACACCCCGCATTGTTCTCCACACCCCGCATTGTTCTCCACACCCCGCATTGTTCTCCACACCCCGCATTGTTCTCCACACCCCGCATTGTTCTCCACACCCCGCATTGTTCTCCACACCCCGCATTGTTCTCCACACCCCGCATTGTTCTCCACACCCCGCATTGTTCTCCACACCCCGCATTGTTCTCCACACCCCGCATTGTTCTCCACACCCCGCATTGTTCTCCACACCCCGCATTGTTCTCCACACCCCGCATTGTTCTCCACACCCCGCATTGTTCTCCACACCCCGCATTGTTCTCCACACCCCGCATTGTTCTCCACACCCCGCATTGTTCTCCACACCCCGCATTGTTCTCCACACCCCGCATTGTTCTCCACACCCCGCATTGTTCTCCACACCCCGCATTGTTCTCCACACCCCGCATTGTTCTCCACACCCCGCATTGTTCTCCACACCCCGCATTGTTCTCCACACCCCGCATTGTTCTCCACACCCCGCAATGTTCTCCACACCCCGCATTGTTCTCCACACCCCGCATTGTTCTCCACACCCCGCATTGTTCTCCACACCCCGCATTGTTCTCCACACCCCGCATTGTTCTCCACACCCCGCATTGTTCTCCACACCCCGCATTGTTCTCCACACCCCGCATTGTTCTCCACACCCCGCATTGTTCTCCACACCCCGCATTGTTCTCCACACCCCGCATTGTTCTCCACACCCCGCATTGTTCTCCACACCCCGCATTGTTCTCCACACCCCGCATTGTTCTCCACACCCCGCATTGTTCTCCACACCCCGCATTGTTCTCCACACCCCGCATTGTTCTCCACACCCCGCATTGTTCTCCGAACTGCATACTCCCTTGCTCACCCCATGCACCGTCCCCTCGCCATAATCTCCCCTCATCTGAGCCACCTCCTCAAGAAACTCAGATCTCTCACCCTGCCCCCTCTTGCCCTCCTCCCCCTCCCCCGCCCTCCCCCGCCCTCCTCCGCTCTCTTCCCCCCTCCCCCGCCCTCCTCCGCCCTCCTCTGGCCTCGTCCGCCCTCCCAGCAATCTGGGCAGCAACCAGCTCTATAGCTTTCAGCCTTCGACCTTCAGCCGCCTCACGAACCTTCAATACCTGTGAGGCCTGCTTGACTCTCAAAGCATCTGGAATCACGAGCCTCAATCACAGGGTGAAACAAACAGGGCTTCGAGTTTCGAGCTTCCAATACCTAGCCTAGGCTACGTATTGCCCTGTCCCGAGTCGTGAGTGTCTTCGACGAACTGGGTTGGCTCCGAGTCGCCCTGGTCTTGGATTGGCCAATGCTGATTCCCTGTCCCTCGAGGCCCTTGAGCTCTCCCCACTGTACTTCGCAATTCCCACTACTACCAACTTCCCGTCACTCCCTTGAAACCCCAACAACCCCTTTGGTAACATTACATGACACATTTCTACACCCTTTGACACCCCAACTAGCGAGTAACTGAATTTATTGCACATATCAATGTATTCTGTGACAACACTTGCACACTGCAGTAAAGTCACACTTGCACACTGCAGTACAGTCACACTTGCACACTGCAGTCCAGTCACACTTGCACACTGCAGTACAGTCACACGTTCACACTGCAGTACAGTCGCACGTTCACACTGCAGTACAGTCACACGTTCACACTGCAGTACAGTCACACGTTCACACTGCAGTACAGTCACACGTTCACACTGCAGTACAGTCACACGTTCACACTGCAGTACAGTCACACGTTCACACTGCAGTACAGTCACACGTTCACACTGCAATGAGTCACACTTGCCCGCACATGTGCATGCACGCACTCATACACACACTCGCTTTCAAACACATACAGATCAAGGAAGCACACTCAGACATTCACATATTCATACAAAATGTATCCCTTGTGTCGCTTGTGCTGCTTGTGCCACTTATGCTGCATTTGCTGATTTTGCTGATTTTGCTGTGCATTTGGCTACTTGTTCTGATTTTGCTGCTTGTGCTGCTTTTGCTGCTTGTTTTGCTTGTGCTGACTGTGCTGTGTGTGCTGCTTTTGCTGCGTGTGTTGCCATTGCTGCGTGTGCTGCCATTGCTGCGTGTGCTGCCATTGCTGTGTGTGTTGCCATTGCTGCGTGTGCTGCCATTGCTGCGTGTGTTGCCATTGCTGCGTGTGTTACCATTGCTGTGTGTGTTCCCATTGCTGTGTGTGTTGCCATTGCTGCGTGTGCTGCCATTGCTGCGTGTGCTGCCATTGCTGCGTGTGTTGCCATTGCTGCGTGTGTTACCATTGCTGCGTGTGTGCGATTGCTGTGTGTGTTACCATTGCTGTGTGTGTTGCCATTGCCGCGTGTGCTGCCATTGCTGCGTGTGCTGCCATTGCTGCGTGTGTTGCCATTGCTGCGTGTGTTACCATTGCTGCGTGTGTTCCCATTGCTGTGTGTGTTGCCATTGCTGCGTGTGCTGCCATTGCTGCGTGTGCTGCCATTGCTGCGTGTGTTCCCATTGCTGCGTGTGTTACCATTGCTGCGTGTGTTCCCATTGCTGTGTGTGTTGCCATTGCTGCGTGTGCTGCCATTGCTGCGTGTGCTGCCATTGCTGCGTGTGCTGCCATTGCTGTGTGTGTTGCCATTGCTGTGTGTGTTGCCATTGCTGCGTGTGCTGCCATTGCTGCGTGTGCTGCCATTGCTGCGTGTGTTGCCATTGCTGCGTGTGTTACCATTGCTGCGTGTGTTCCCATTGCTGTGTGTGTTGCCATTGCTGCGTGTGCTGCCATTGCTGCGTGTGCTGCCATTGCTGCGTGTGCTGCCATTGCTGCGTGTGCTGCCATTGCTGCGTGTGCTGCCATTGCTGCGTGTGCTGCCATTGCTGCGTGTGCTGCCATTGCTGTGTGTGTTGCCATTGCTGCGTGTGTTGCCATTGCTGCGTGTGTTGCCATTGCTGCGTGTGCTGCCATTGCTGTGTGTGTTGCCATTGCTGCGTGTGTTGCCATTGCTGTGTGTGTTGCCATTGCTGCGTGTGCTGCCATTGCTGCGTGTGCTGCCATTGCTGCGTGTGTTGCCATTGCTGCGTGTGTTACCATTGCTGCGTGTGCTGCCATTGCTGCGTGTGTTGCCATTGCTGCGTGTGTTACCATTGCTGCGTGTGTTCCCATTGCTGTGTGTGTTGCCATTGCTGCGTGTGCTGCCATTGCTGCGTGTGCTGCCATTGCTGTGTGTGTTGCGATTGCTGCGTGTGTTACCATTGCTGCGTGTGCTGCCATTGCTGCGTGTGTTCCCATTGCTGCGTGTGTTACCATTGCTGCGTGTGTTCCCATTGCTGTGTGTGTTGCCATTGCTGCGTGTGCTGCCATTGCTGCGTGTGCTGCCATTGCTGCGTGTGCTGCCATTGCTGCGTGTGCTGCCATTGCTGTGTGTGTTGCCATTGCCGCGTGTGCTGCCATTGCTGCGTGTGCTGCCATTGCTGCGTGTGTTGCCATTGCTGCGTGTGTTACCATTGCTGCGTGTGTTCCCATTGCTGTGTGTGTTGCCATTGCTGCGTGTGTTGCCATTGCTGCGTGTGCTGCCATTGCTGCGTGTGCTGCCATTGCTGCGTGTGCTGCCATTGCTGCGTGTGCTGCCATTGCTGCGTGTGTTGCCATTGCTGCGTGTGTTTCCATTGCTGTGTGTGTTGCCATTGCTGCGTGTGTTGCCATTGCTGCGTGTGCTGCCATTGCTGCGTGTGCTGCCATTGCTGCGTGTGCTGCCATTGCTGCGTGTGCTGCCATTGCTGCGTGTGCTGCCATTGCTGCGTGTGCTGCCATTGCTGCGTGTGCTGCCATTGCTGCGTGTGCTGCCATTGCTGCGTGTGTTGCCATTGCTGCGTGTGTTGCCATTGCTGCGTGTGTTGCCATTGCTGCGTGTGCTGCCATTGCTGCGTGTGCTGCCATTGCTGCGTGTGCTGCCATTGCTGCGTGTGCTGCCATTGCTGCGTGTGCTGCCATTGCTGCGTGTGCTGCCATTGCTGCGTGTGCTGCCATTGCTGCGTGTGTTGCCATTGCTGCGTGTGTTGCCATTGCTGCGTGTGTTGCCATTGCTGCGTGTGCTGCCATTGCTGCGTGTGCTGCCATTGCTGCGTGTGCTGCCATTGCTGCGTGTGCTGCCATTGCTGCGTGTGCTGCCATTGCTGCGTGTGCTGCCATTGCTGCGTGTGTTACCATTGCTGCGTGTGTTTCCATTGCTGTGTGTGTTGCCATTGCTGCGTGTGCTGCCATTGCTGCGTGTGCTGCCTTTGCTGCGTGTGCTGCCATTGCTGCGTGTGCTGCCATTGCTGCGTGTGCTGCCATTGCTGCGTGTGCTGCCATTGCTGCGTGTGCTGCCATTGCTGCGTGTGCTGCCATTGCTGTGTGTGTTGCCATTGCTGCGTGTGTTGCCATTGCTGCGTGTGTTGCCATTGCTGCGTGTGTTGCCATTGCTGCGTGTGCTGCCATTGCTGCGTGTGCTGCCATTGCTGCGTGTGCTGCCATTGCTGCGTGTGCTGCCATTGCTGCGTGTGCTGCCATTGCTGCGTGTGCTGCCATTGCTGTGTGTGTTGCCATTGCTGCGTGTGTTGCCATTGCTGCGTGTGCTGCCATTGCTGCGTGTGCTGCCATTGCTGCGTGTGTTGCCATTGCTGCGTGTGTTACCATTGCTGCGTGTGTTCCCATTGCTGTGTGTGTTGCCATTGCTGCGTGTGCTGCCATTGCTGCGTGTGCTGCCATTGCTGCGTGTGCTGCCATTGCTGCGTGTGCTGCCATTGCTGCGTGTGCTGCCATTGCTGCGTGTGCTGCCATTGCTGCGTGTGCTGCCATTGCTGTGTGTGTTGCCATTGCTGCGTGTGTTGCCATTGCTGCGTGTGTTGCCATTGCTGCGTGTGCTGCCATTGCTGTGTGTGTTGCCATTGCTGCGTGTGTTGCCATTGCTGTGTGTGTTGCCATTGCTGCGTGTGCTGCCATTGCTGCGTGTGCTGCCATTGCTGCGTGTGTTGCCATTGCTGCGTGTGTTACCATTGCTGCGTGTGCTGCCATTGCTGCGTGTGTTGCCATTGCTGCGTGTGTTACCATTGCTGCGTGTGTTCCCATTGCTGTGTGTGTTGCCATTGCTGCGTGTGCTGCCATTGCTGCGTGTGCTGCCATTGCTGTGTGTGTTGCGATTGCTGCGTGTGTTACCATTGCTGCGTGTGCTGCCATTGCTGCGTGTGTTCCCATTGCTGCGTGTGTTACCATTGCTGCGTGTGTTCCCATTGCTGTGTGTGTTGCCATTGCTGCGTGTGCTGCCATTGCTGCGTGTGCTGCCATTGCTGCGTGTGCTGCCATTGCTGTGTGTGTTGCCATTGCTGTGTGTGTTGCCATTGCCGCGTGTGCTGCCATTGCTGCGTGTGCTGCCATTGCTGTGTGTGTTGCCATTGCTGCGTGTGTTGCCATTGCTGCGTGTGCTGCCATTGCTGCGTGTGTTACCATTGCTGCGTGTGTTCCCATTGCTGTGTGTGTTGCCATTGCTGCGTGTGTTGCCATTGCTGCGTGTGCTGCCATTGCTGCGTGTGCTGCCATTGCTGTGTGTGTTGCCATTGCTGTGTGTGTTGCCATTGCCGCGTGTGCTGCCATTGCTGCGTGTGCTGCCATTGCTGCGTGTGTTGCCATTGCTGCGTGTGTTACCATTGCTGCGTGTGTTCCCATTGCTGTGTGTGTTGCCATTGCTGCGTGTGTTGCCATTGCTGCGTGTGCTGCCATTGCTGCGTGTGCTGCCATTGCTGCGTGTGCTGCCATTGCTGCGTGTGTTGCCATTGCTGCGTGTGTTACCATTGCTGCGTGTGTTTCCATTGCTGTGTGTGTTGCCATTGCTGCGTGTGCTGCCATTGCTGCGTGTGCTGCCTTTGCTGCGTGTGCTGCCATTGCTGCGTGTGCTGCCATTGCTGCGTGTGCTGCCATTGCTGCGTGTGCTGCCATTGCTGCGTGTGCTGCCATTGCTGCGTGTGCTGCCATTGCTGTGTGTGTTGCCATTGCTGCGTGTGTTGCCATTGCTGCGTGTGTTGCCATTGCTGCGTGTGTTGCCATTGCTGCGTGTGCTGCCATTGCTGCGTGTGCTGCCATTGCTGCGTGTGCTGCCATTGCTGCGTGTGCTGCCATTGCTGCGTGTGCTGCCATTGCTTTGTGTGCTGCCATTGCTGTGTGTGTTGCCATTGCTGTGTGTGTTGCCATTGCTGCGTGTGCTGCCATTGCTGCGTGTGCTGCCATTGCTGCGTGTGTTCCCATTGCTGTGTGTGTTGCCATTGCTGCGTGTGCTGCCATTGCTGCGTGTGCTGCCATTGCTGCGTGTGCTGCCATTGCTGCGTGTGCTGCCATTGCTGCGTGTGCTGCCATTGCTGCGTGTGCTGCCATTGCTGCGTGTGCTGCCATTGCTGCGTGTGCTGCCATTGCTGCGTGTGTTGCCATTGCTGCGTGTGTTGCCATTGCTGCGTGTGTTGCCATTGCTGTGTGTGTTGCCATTGCTGCGTGTGTTGCCATTGCTGCGTGTGTTGCCATTGCTGTGTGTGTTGCCATTGCTGCGTGTGCTGCCATTGCTGCGTGTGCTGCCATTGCTGCGTGTGTTGCCATTGCTGCGTGTGTTACCATTGCTGCGTGTGCTGCCATTGCTGCGTGTGTTGCCATTGCTGCGTGTGTTACCATTGCTGCGTGTGTTCCCATTGCTGTGTGTGTTGCCATTGCTGCGTGTGCTGCCATTGCTGCGTGTGCTGCCATTGCTGTGTGTGTTGCGATTGCTGCGTGTGTTACCATTGCTGCGTGTGCTGCCATTGCTGCGTGTGTTCCCATTGCTGCGTGTGTTACCATTGCTGCGTGTGTTCCCATTGCTGTGTGTGTTGCCATTGCTGCGTGTGCTGCCATTGCTGCGTGTGCTGCCATTGCTGCGTGTGCTGCCATTGCTGTGTGTGTTGCCATTGCTGTGTGTGTTGCCATTGCCGCGTGTGCTGCCATTGCTGCGTGTGCTGCCATTGCTGCGTGTGTTGCCATTGCTGCGTGTGTTACCATTGCTGCGTGTGTTCCCATTGCTGTGTGTGTTGCCATTGCTGCGTGTGTTGCCATTGCTGCGTGTGCTGCCATTGCTGCGTGTGCTGCCATTGCTGCGTGTGCTGCCATTGCTGCGTGTGTTGCCATTGCTGCGTGTGTTACCATTGCTGCGTGTGTTTCCATTGCTGTGTGTGTTGCCATTGCTGCGTGTGCTGCCATTGCTGCGTGTGCTGCCTTTGCTGCGTGTGCTGCCATTGCTGCGTGTGCTGCCATTGCTGCGTGTGCTGCCATTGCTGCGTGTGCTGCCATTGCTGCGTGTGCTGCCATTGCTGCGTGTGCTGCCATTGCTGTGTGTGTTGCCATTGCTGCGTGTGTTGCCATTGCTGCGTGTGTTGCCATTGCTGCGTGTGTTGCCATTGCTGCGTGTGCTGCCATTGCTGCGTGTGCTGCCATTGCTGCGTGTGCTGCCATTGCTGCGTGTGCTGCCATTGCTGCGTGTGCTGCCATTGCTGCGTGTGCTGCCATTACTGCGTGTGTTGCCATTGCTGCGTGTGTTGCCATTGCTGTGTGTGTTGCCATTGCTGCGTGTGCTGCCATTGCTGCGTGTGCTGCCATTGCTGCGTGTGCTGCTTTTGCTGTGTGTGCTGCCATTGCTGTGTGTGTTCCCATTGCTGCGTGTGCTGGCAGGGATCTCTCACAGTGCAACCTTGAAGGGTCGCTGCCAGATGACATTGGCAATCTCACCTCCCTCGTCTCCCTGTACGCCCCCTCACCTCCCTGTACGCCCCCTCACCTCCCTGTACGCCCCCTCACCTCCCTGTACCCCCTCACTGCCCTCACCTCACCGCACGGCCCCACACCTCTCTGTACTCCCATCCCCGTCACGTGTCTTGATGCTGATCCGAGGGGGTTGAACTCCTTGCTCTCGCAGGCATTGCTTGAGGATTCTCATTCCGCCCTCACCTTGGCTTCACAGATTCCCATTCTGCTCTCACTTGCCATCATGCCAATCCCTTTCTGTCCTCACTGCATACTCCGTCCTACTCTCCACACCTCGTTCTCCCAGCCTCCCTCATTCTCCAACCCTTATTCTCCAAACCTCACTCACTGTTCAAACCTCCATCAGTCTCCAAACCTCCCTTCATTCTCCACACTCTCGTCACACCCCATGCACTCCTCACACTCTCCAGCAGTCGCTTCACACAAGTACTGCTTCCCCCTTAACCCCTCAACCCCCGGCACCGTTTTCTCACCCCCTGCACCGTTCCTCACCCATCACCATTACCTCTCGACATACCTACCTAGCCATCTCCGCTCTTCACTCTCATCCTCCCATTTCCTCCCTCCACCTCCATTCTCCATTCTCCGCCGCCCTTTCCCCCCCTCCTCACTCTCCTCTGCCCTTCCCCGCCTTCCTCACTCTCCTCACTCTCCTCCGCCCTTCCCCACTCTCCCCCACCTTTCCCCGCTCTCCCTGCCCTCCTCCACTCTCCCCCGCCCTCCTCCGCCCTTTCTTGCTCTCGTCCGCCCTCCTCCGCCCTCCCTTGCTCTCCCCTGCTCTCCCCCACTCTCCTCCGCCCTCTCTTGCTTTCCCCCGCTCTCCCCTGCCCTGCCAGCAATTTGGACGCCAATCAGCTCTTCAACTCTCTGCCCGAGTCTCTCACCCGTCTCACCAACCTCCACATTCTGTGAGCATTGCCCGCCCTTCCTGTGAGCCCAGCCCCTCTTGCAAGCACCTTGTAATCATGCGTGCTTTTGACGTACCCACTTCAAAGGCTGTGAGCCGCATGGCACGTGCTGTGCTGTGCTGTGCTGTGCTGTGCTGCCACTGTGTTCCATGATGCGTCTAGAATGAGGATCAGGTCACTTCAGTTCAGCCTGAAATGCCCACCTGCTTCAACGAGTTGCTGTCCCTCCAGCAGCTTCAAAAACTACAGCAACACTAAGCTAGTATGTAAAAAGGTACAAATAGAAAAGTTGAGATTGGTGTCTATCCGAACACAAACACCACTCCCCGTTGACCATTTGCACCCCTGGCCCCCCATATCCTGCAACGGTCAGAACTGCCAGCAACAACTCCTTCTCGGGCCCTCTGCCAGCCTTCTTTGGCCGCATGGCCAACCTGCAGCAGCTGTGAGTACACCGGCCATAGCGCACCAGCTGTGAGCGCACCAGCTGTGAGCGCACCAGCTGTGAGCGCACCAGCTGTGAGCGCACCAGCTGTGAGCGCACCAGCTGTGAGCGCACCAGCTGTGAGCGCACCAGCTGTGAGCGCACCAGCTGTGAGCGCACCAGCTGTGAGCGCACCAGCTGTGAGCGCTCCAGTTGTGAGCGCACCAGCTGTGAGCGCACCAGCTGTGAGCGCACCAGCTGTGAGCGCACCAGCTCAGCTGTGAGCGCACCAGCTGTGAGCGCACCACCTGTGAGCGCACCACCTGTGAGCGCACCAGCTGTGAGCGCACCAGCTGTGAGCGCACCAGCTGTGAGCGCACCAGCTGTGAGCACACCAGCTAAGGGAGAGGGGGCCCTGTTGTTTGTCCTGCCTCCTCTCCCCTATGCCATGCCATCTGTACCTTGTTGGGTAGTTAACGACGCGCCGTGCATGCCATGCCATTCCTCCTACTCTCACCCCGAGCCTGCCTCCACTTCACTTCACCCCACCCACCCCCATCCCACCCCGTGCATCCCCCAGCAAGCTCTACCCAATCCCCATCCCTGCCTCCTTCTCTTCACGCTACCCCACCCCCACAGCATGCCTCTCACAGAATGCTCTATCCCAACCCTGTGCCCCTCCTCCTCTTCATGCATCCATGCGTCTACCAGGAAGCTACAGTCCAACCCCATGGGAGGATCGCTGCCCGAGTCCTACTCGCAACTCAAGAACCTCACCCACCTGTACGCCTCTTCCACCTGTACGCCTCTTCCACCTGTACGCCTCTTCCACCTGTACGCCTCTTCCACCTGTACGCCCCTTCCACCTGTACGCCTCTTCCACCTGTACGCCCCTTCCACCTGTACGCCTCTTCCACCTGTACGCCCCTTCCACCTGTGCGCCTCACATGCCCCACATGCCCCACCTGCCCCACATGCCCCACCTGCCCCACATGCCCCACCTGCCCCACATGCCCCACCTGCCCCACACCTCTCCCCATCGCCCCCCTCTCCCTCTCACTCCCTCTTTTCCTTGCATCTCACGTGCTCCCTTCCAGCCATCGGATGATCACTGGTTTGCCAAGTCCCATCCCTCTTTCTCTTTCCTCTCACCCCCTCGTCCATCTCATGCTCTACACTGCACGACCCTTCCAGCCATCTGATGAACACAGGTCTCTCAGGCCCCATCCCTGACTCGTGGGGCAACATGAAAAAACTTCAGTACTTGTGAGTGTGTGCAGTACTTGTGAGTGTGTGCAGTACTTGTGAGTGTGTGCAGTACTTGTGAGTGTGTGCAGTACCTGTGAGTGTGCAGCAGTTGAACCCAACTCCGTTACCTTGTTTCTCCTCGCTACGCACACCCTACTCCCTGCTACACACACGCTTCTCTCCCTTCTACTCGCACCCCTTGTTTTCATAGCCCGCTTCCCTCCATTTGTCACTCATCTCCTTCCCCACCCATCCAATCTCTCAACCTCCGTCCCTGTCTCTTTTTCCCCGTTCCTTCTCACACACTGCCTCCCCCCGCCCCCCCTGCCAGCCATTTGAGTCGCAACAATCTCTCAGGATACCTTCCTGCCTCGCTGGGGCAACTCACCAACCTCATTGAATTGTAACCATTTCATCTTGCCAACCTCATTGCATTGTAACCGTTTCATCTTGCCAACCTCATTGAATTGTTACCGTTTCATCTAGCCAACCTCATTGAATTGTAACTGTTTCATCTAGCCAACCTCATTGACTTGTAGCCATTTCATCAAGCCAACCTCATTGACTTGTTGCCGTTTCATCTAGCCAACCTCATTGACTTGTTGCCGTTTCATCTAGCCAACCTTAATGACTTGTAGCCGTTTCATCTAGCAATCCTCATTGACTTGTAGCCATTTCATCTAGCCAACCTCATTGTATTGTAATTGTTTCATCTAGCCAACCTCATTGACTTGTAGCCATTTCATCTTTCCAGCCTCTTCAAATTGTATTTCTTTCACCTAGCCAACCTCATTCAACTAGAACCATTTCATTTATCCAACCTCATCGAATTGTAACCATTTTTATCCACCCAACCTCATTGTATTGTAACAATTTCACATATCCCAACCTCATGAACTGTAACCATACCACCCCAGCGAACTGTAACCATCGCACCGCACCGGCTGTTAACCATCTCCTCACGACTGTTTACCATCTCCTCACGACTGTTAACCATCTCCTCACGACTGTTTACCATTTCCGCACGAGTGTTAACCATGTCCTCACGACTGTTAACCAACTGACTGTTCAACGTCCCCATTGCTCCTCTCGCGCATCTCCTTGCCTCGTTGACAAGCCCGATGCTCAACGGGCCACGGCGCTGCTCAATGCTGCCACCGATTAAGCATATATGTCATACTTGTTCGGTAACAGGTTAGGGAGTGTATGGGTACAGTAAGAGTGGGGTTAAAGGGACAAGTAGGTGAGAAGTCAGGGAGTGATGCTAAGTTGTTGAGAAGTGCCCAAGGATCAATAGGAACGCGAGGGGAGTTGGTAAGATTCCTGGGATGCAGGCAATCAGCTGACCCAATAGCTGGAATGTGGACAAGAGCTCCAAGCGGCACACTGAGAAATGTGCGGCTCGGGCAAAGCAAGGGTCACTGTAGTAGCTAGGCACAGCTATATTCTCCTTGTTGTTCTTGTTTGTCTTTCCAAGCATAGGGGATTTCATTGCCTTAAGCTCTACGCTAGGTGACTTGCCACTGAGGAGAGATAAACGGTTGTAGAAGAATTTTCTAAGACAGAGAGAGACTGGACTGGGTATGGGAGGGAAACTGGAGGAGAGGAAGCAGGGTGTTTTCCCGACATGTTCATTCCCTGCCTCCCTGCCTGCCTCCCTCCCTGCCTCCCTGCCTGCCTCCCTGCCTGCCTGCCTGCCTGCCTGCTGGCCGGTGCCCGCCCCTTCCCCCCCTGACCCCATGCAGTTCGGCCTATCAAAATCCGCTGCTGGAGGGAAAGCTGCCGCCCTGCTGGGCCACCGTTCAGTCCTTCGGCATTCTGTACGCCTCCTTCCCCACGCCCCCTTCCCCACGCCCCCTTCCCCACGCCCCCTTCCCCACGCCCCCTTCCCCACGCCCCCTTCCCCACGCCCCCTTCCCCACGCCCCCTTCCCCACGCCCCCTTCCCCACGCCCCCTTCCCCACGCCCCCTTCCCCACGCCCCCTTCCCCACGCCCCCTTCCCCACGCCCCCTTCCCCACGCCCCCTTCCCCACGCCCCCTTCCCCACGCCCTCTTTCCCACCCTCCTGAATTCCTGCATCCCTTTCCCCTCGGCACTCAGTTCGGCCCCTTCCTCTCGGCAGACCTTTCCCCTCAGCCCTCGTTTCCCCTCAGCCCTCGTTTCCCCTCAGCCCTCGTTTCCCCTCAGCCCTCGTTTCCCCTCAGCCCTCGTTTCCCCTCAGCCCTCGTTTCCCCTCAGCCCTCGTTTCCCCTCAGCCCTCGTTTCCCCTCAGCCCTCGTTTCCCCTCAGCCCTCGTTTCCCCTCAGCCCTCGTTTCCCCTCAGCCCTCGTTTCTCCCTACACCCTCCTCTCCTTCTCTCCTGCACTTTTGCCTGCCACCCTGCCGCCCCACCATTCAGTCCTGCGGCACTCTGTACGCCTTACTGCCCTCCCAAGCCCCTCCCCCTGCCCTCCCCTGCCTGTCCTCCTGCCCTCCCCTGCCCGTCCTCCTGCCCTCCCCTGCCGTCCCTGGCCCCTCCCCTTGCTCTCCACGCCCTCCCCTTGGCCCCCCGCCCTCCCCTCAGCCCTTCCCCTATGCGCCTTGCTACCTCATTGGCAACAGCATTTCGCACGCGCACGCTCTCTGCCTCTCGCACCCCACATCTCTGTCCTCCCTCCCCTTCGTCACTGGCTGGCCCCCGCTGCCCATCCCCACTACTTGATTACACCGCCCCTCATCGCTGTCCCTCGTGATTGCGCTATTAGCTTGTTTCTATCCCCTCTACCCTCTTGTTTCTATCCCCTCCACCCTCTTGTTTCTATCCCCTCCACCCTCTTGTTTCTATCCCCTCCACCCTCTTGTTTCTATCCCCTCCACCCTCTTGTTTCTATCCATGCATGTGCCGAGCAAGCATGAACAGCATCCATCCATCCGACGGCCTCCCCTTCTCCTCCACCCACCTGCATCAGCTCACTCCTCCTCATAGTGCTGCTTGAGAGGAACGCTCCTCACCCACCCAGCCTCCATCCAACGTTTCCCTCCCTCCCCCCCACGCCACGATCCCTCTCTCTTCCTCAAACCCTATCCCTCCCTCCCCCCCACCCCACACCCACCAATCCCTCCCTCCTGTACCACTCCCCCTTCAGCTCACACCAGCTCCCTCCTGGGTACCAAGCTGCGCTGCCCCACACGCCCCATCGACTCCTGCTACCCAATCCCCAGCATCCATCCACCATTCTCCCTCCCTCCCTCCCTCCACCCACCCACTCCCCCATACGCCCCGCCGACTCCTGCTGCCCGATCCCCAGCATCCATCCACCATTCTCCCTCCCTCCCTCCCTCCACCCACCCACTCCCCCATACGCCCCGCCGACTCCTGCTGCCCGATCCCCAGCATCCATCCACCATTCTCCCTCCCTCCACCCACCCACCCACCCCCCTTTTTCCACCCCCATCAGCTCCATCCTGGGCAGTGGGCACCAAGCTGCGCTGCCCCACACGCCCCGCTGACACCCGCTGCCCCAATACCCACCCTCAATATGCCATTTCTTTCCCCCACCACCACCTCCTTTCCCCTTTCCACCTCCCTCCCTCCTCTTCCCCCAATCCACCTTCATCAGCTCCATCCTAGGCACCAAGCTGCGCTGCCCCACTCGCTCCGCTGACTCCTGCTGCCCGGGCTGCCTTCAGAGCGACCTGCCATTCTGCTCCCTCCTCTGCCCCGACTTCTGCCAACAATGCAAACCGCCCGGTAACCCCCTCTCTCTCTCCCTGCCGACCTCCCTGTAACTGCTTCCTTACCACATCGAACTCCGCCTCATCACTGTCCCATTTCCTCTCCCTTTCTTCCTTCAAGTTACTGACGTCAAATTATCCAGCAGCAGCTGCACTCACTCCCTTGTGCGTCACTCCTCCTCCCCACCACACCCCCCTTGCTGCAATCCACCCTCCCCACCCCCCCTGCGCCGTCCGCCCACCAGTGCTATCGCCAGCAGGCATAGCAGGCGTGGTGGTGGGGACTGTGGTGCTGCTGGTTGTGGTGCTGCTCGTATCGCTCTACGTGTGGTATTACTACTGGGGACCCGGCAGCCGCAAGGGTGAGTGGGGCGAGGGCGAGTGGGACCAGGGTGAGTGGGTGGGGCGAGGATGAGTGGGGTACGATGGTGACTGTGGTGGGGGTGTGCGTGGGGCGGGCTGTGTGTTGTTGCTGCTTGCAGCGCTGCTCGTGCTGCTCTACGTGTGGTGCTACTACTGGAGACCCGGCAGCCGCAAGGGTGAGCGAGGCGAGGGCGAATGGGGTGTGATATGATTGGGGTTGTCCAGGGGTGGGTTGTGTGTTGTTGCTGCTTGCAGCAGCACACGCTCTGCTGTAAGTGGTACTTCCACTGGGGACCCGGCAGCCGCAAAGGTGAGAGGGGTGGGGAGGGTGACTTGAGGGGGAGGGTGAGTGGGGTGATGAGGGTGAGTGGGGTGATGAGGGTGAGTGGGGTGATGAGGGTGAGTGGGGTGATGAGGGTGAGTGGGGTGATGAGGGTGAGTGGGGTGATGAGGGTGAGTGGGGTTGGGGACCGCGATTGGAATTAGAGTGTGAATGGGGCGGGCGGGGAGTGTGAGTTGGGTGAGATCGTGTGAGTGGGGTGGAGAGTGCAAGGGGTAGGAGTGTGAATGGTGTGGGAGAAAGTGAGTGCTGCTCCACGTATGGTAAATTAACGATAGGGGTGAGGTGATTCAATCTGCGGAGAGATCCAAAGGGTGCATACAGACAGCAGCTCGGATGGCATTGCTCATCTCCCCTCTCCTCCTTTTCCATCCTGCCGTCTCTGCTCCCTTGTCCTCTTTCCCGCCCTCACACTCCCTCGCCCTCTCTGCTTCCCCGAGATCTCCTCCCTCCCACTGTGCTCCCTCGCCCTCGGTGGCCCCCCACCCTCTCACCCCCCTCCACCCTTCCCTTCCCCCAAGCAGCATGGGAGAGGGAGCTGCAGCAGGGCTTCAGGAGGTACACGTGGAGGGAGGTGATGGAGGCGACCAACCAGCTGAGCCCTGACAACCTTCTCGGCAAGGGCGGCTTCGGCTCCGTCTACTGGGGCGTCATCGGCGGGGAGCAGCAGAGTGGGTGGAGCGGGAAAGTGTGGAAGAGTAGACGGAAAGCAGCAAGCAGCGGGCCGGGCAGGGAGAGTGGGACGAGTGGAGGGAGTGGGACGAGCGGAGGGAGTGGGACGAGTGGAGGGAGTGGGACAACGACTGGGGAGAGTGGCACGAGTGCAGGGAGTGGGACAAGTAAGGGGAGTGTCACGAGTGTGGACAATATGAAAACTGCTTCTGCTGCTCCGGTGGGCGGCAGTGCCCCAGGGGTGGGCGGCGGTGCACGTGTGGTGGTGGGCGGCGGCGTGGAGGTGGCGATCAAGCGAGCAGCTGTTGTGGAGCGATCGTCCAACGTCGCCACCATGTTTGAAGAGGAGGTCAGTCAGTGGAGCAGTGTGATGTGAACTGTTGTGGACTGTTGGTATGGAGGGGGCGGGTGGTGCACTGGCAAGGAGGTGTGTGGTGTGGTGTGGTGGCGAGTTTAGGGGGTTGAGCAAATGAAAGGAGCAGCGATTGGTTCGATGAGTTGTGGATGGGTTGTTGCAGAGGATCCGTTACGTTTAAAGCTTATGACCAATTATTACTAAACGCAAATCCGCTCAGCAGGATTGTGTGCTGTAGTCTGAGCTACCATCTCCAACCAATTTGTAGCACTAAAAAAGGTTGGTGAATAAAGTTGAGCGAAGAGAAACGTCTAGCTGCTGCATGACTAAAATGGTGGAGGAATTAAAAACGCTGTAACACAAATTACTCAGAATCGAGGACTCTATGAGAACCTTGAGAGACAAAGAGTACTCCAATGTTGACATTCGTTAGCGAGTTGAACCGCACAATTTCATACAGCAGTGTCGTACGTGCTGGTTTGTACGAGCGGTGGCAGTATGATAAACTATAGACTCAGAATTCAATGTTTATCAGAAGTTTAAAACCTTTGGCCCAAATTGCACAAGTTTTAAAAAGTTGACGAGATGGAGTTTTACTGGTTTGGGTTTTGGCGAGTGTTTTACTGGTTTCGTGAAAGTCGTTTTTTTCGCCAAACCCAGCCAGCCCCCCTGGTTTTTACCCTGTTGGGTGTGTCAGACCTCGAAAGTCCCAAATTGCAGCTGCGCTACTTTTCAAAGCTTGCACAACCCACTTCGTCAAGTTTTAAAAACTTTACTCGCGCGGTCCGCAATTTGGGCCGCGGGCTTTAAGCATGGGGGATGGTTTTCAACCTTCAAATATGAATTTAGGAAGGTGGAATAGTGTCACATAGTCTCGGTCCATGGAACATCTTATCAGAACGATCTACACCAGGACAGCGACATTGCTATTCTTCATAATTTCATTATTTATGGAATACGATTTTTGAGCACATTTGAATCTTGAATTGGTGGTGAAATACCTTCAGCACAATTTCTTCATTCGAGTATCGTTAGAATTTGCTGCACAAATGTCCAACACTGTGGGACGTTCAACACACAACATATTAGGACCACGCACCACTTGACACACGATTTAAGAAAACTCGCTAGTTATTTGACGCAAACACTCAACATCATTATAGCCAATTACTCATAGAAACATGAATCGTTAATATTCAGACACCATGTCATTTCATGCAAACACACACAATTGCACTAGCGGAGCAAGAATATCGTTCCATAATTCTTGAGAAAAAGAAGTAGAAAAAAAAAACAAACAAACCTTGTAAGACTTCGGACAATAATATGCCTACTCGAGCAATTCCTTTGAGGACACAAACAAGGGCCATTTTCTTCTAACAATGTTTTTTCTGAAATTCGTAGATGGGGAACATTTGACATGTTAAGCAGCCTGTGTGTTGCATGACACGTTGTTAGAAATCAACAAGTTGTATTGAGTAATGAGCCAAGAGGCTGTATAATACAAGCATGGAGCAACATATGACTGCAAGAGGAGCTAACCCTATTGGCCACTAAGTTGGCCAATGGGTGAGTGGCTTGTAGCCCAAGCAACTAGAATTGTGAGTTGGTTGTGTCGTGACCTCACCCTCTGTTCCTCTCTTGCGCTCTTGTTGCCCTTCCTTGCCCTCTCTTTCCCAATCTTATCTCATCCTTCCTTCTCTGCCGTCTCCGTTCCAGATCCCAAGTTGCATCTCCTCCTCCTCTCCCCCTTCAGTGCCCATGCACCCCATGCATCAAGCCTCGCAATACTAGTGCTGTGTGCAGACTATTGCTCGAGCTCCTAACACTGCTAGCTTCGAATTGAAGTCGGAATTGCAGTATGAAAGGAACAAACAAGCATAGAGCGAGTAGAATGTTCGAACTTCCTTCAGATCTATCCTCGCTACTCCTAGAGTGGCCCTCTAGCTCCTGGAGCGCGAAGAAACCTCTTCGGCGCACTTCCAAGGTGCTAGCTGGCTACCTACGAGCTAGCTGGAATCCAGCTTCCCCACCGCCATCCAGCTCCGCACCGCATGCATTGGGTTTCTCCTCCTAATTCCCTTGCGCCTTGAGCACACCAACCCCCTCGAAATCTGGCCACCAACTCCCTCCCAAAACGAAATAGCAAGAACCGTATAGTACAGTACACAGTAAAGCGAAAACAGATAAAAGCAAACACAACAACTTACCCTTGCTGCTGCACTACTTCAGCTGTGGCTCGAGGCCACGCTTATTAGTGCGACAGTTGGGATTGGTTGGGCCAAAGACGAAGGGTTGGCAAGTGCCAACCAAAGAACAAGGACCACATCCAATCTTGACCAACCACAAATTGTGGTTGAAGAGTACATCCATCAACCCCCCAATAGAACAAATGACTACACCTTGTTATCTAGCCTATGGATGCCGGATATAATAAAGATTGCAACACTTGCTTCCAGTATTAGTTGCACACTTCCGAACTTTATGTAAAGAATAAAGGTATGGTGAAGTTATCCACCCAAGACACCAAGAATCTTGCCACCATGCCACCATACCCCGGCCCATGCCAACCATGCCACCTGGCTCTCTCTCCCTATCACTTAACTACTCTCCCGACTGCCACCATTCCTGCCTGGCAGGTGAAGGCGGTGTCCAAGTTGAGCCACAATAATAGTCATGCCCCAACGCCCCCACACCTGGCAGGTGAAGGCGGTGTCCAAGTTGAGCCACAAGAACCTCGTACGCCTCCTCGGCTACTGCAACGAGAACAACGAGCAGGTACTCTCCCACCCTTGCTGCTGCCGTGCTGCCCTACTGCTTTCTGCTATCATGCTGCCCTACCATTGCTGCTATCTGCCACCCTGCCTTGCTGCTAGTGCCGCAGCTGTTGATTAAACCCACCATGTGGATGCTCTTGGAAGTGTGATTGCTGTTAAGCCCACTTCCCTCCTGTCCCCCTTTCCTCTTGGCAGGTGTTGGTGTACGAGTATGTGCGCAATGGTGACATCAGCGACCATCTATACATGCACTTCCACGGGCACCACGCATTCACATCCCCCCACCCCTTCCCGTTTCCTCCTTCCCCTTTTCCCCTCCCGCAGATATTGGTGTACGAGTATGTGCGCAACGGCGACATCAGCGACCATCTATACGCCAACTACAGCGGCCACCTGCTGACCTTCGAGGAGCGGCTGGATGCGGCACTGGGCCTCGCAGAGGGGCTCAAGTACCTGCATTATCATGCAGAGAAGCCCATTGTTCACCGCGACATCAAGCCCTGCAACGTGCTGCTCACAGAGGACTACCAGGTGGGGGGAAGCCAATCACAGCCCGCCACATGGCAGCATATCATGCCTGGTGCAAAGAACAGCAGGCTTGGTGTGAAGCACGGGTTCAGAATAGTAGGGAGTGTTGTTCGGCCACACCGTTCCAGTTACCGTCACAGTCACTTGCTTGGCGTGAAACATGGGCTCAGAATAGGTGGTCACATGCAGCTGTCTTTAGCGCCCCACCGTCACTTGCTTGCCTTTCCAGCCGCATGGCACCATCTCACTGCATGGCACCATCTCACTGCATGGCATGGCACCACAGTGTCCCTGCCATCCGAATACCTCCAGACAATGCTGATAAAACCGCTTTCTCCTTTCCCACTATCACATCCCCCAACCACCCTCCTCACCACACCTCCTCCCTTACAGGTAAAGATAGCCGACTTTGGGCTGATTCGGTCGCTGCAGGAGGGTGCGGAGCAGGACGGCACGTTCACGCGTGTGGCGGGCACGAGGGGGTATCTGGACCCCGAGTACATGACGTGCGAGAAGCTCTCCACGGCGAGCGATGTGTACAGGTGGGTGTGGGTGGGTGTGGGTGGTTGTGGGTGGGTGTGGGTGGGTGTGGGTGGGTGTGGGTGGTTGTGGGTGTGTGTGGGTGTGTGTTCGTTTGAGGTGGCACTGAAGGGCGCGCCGTGTGGCGGGCACGAGGGGGTACCTGGATCCCGAGTATATGACGTGTGAAAAGCTCTCTACAGCGAGTGATGTGTACAGGTGGGTGTGAGTGGGTGTGTGTGGGTTGTGTGTGTGTGTGGGGGTGTGTGTGTGTGTGTGTGTGTGTGTGTGTGGGTGTGGGGCGACCAAGGGGGCCACGAGGGGGTATCTGGACCCCGAGTATATGACGTGTGAAAAGCTCTCCACGGCGAGTGATGTGTACAGGTGGGTGTGAGTATGAGTGTGTAAAGGTGTGTTTGGGTGTAAGGGGGTATTTAGACCCCGAGTACATGACGTGTGAGAAGGTGTCTACTGCAAGCGATGTGTACAGGTGGGTGTGGGTGGAGTGTATTGTGTGCGTGCGTGCATGTGTGCGTGCGCGCGCGCACTCCACATCTCTCCACATCTCCCCATATCTCTCCACATCTCTCCACTTCTCTCCACATCTGTGCCCCCCAGCTACGGTGTGCTGCTGGTGGAGATGGTAACGGGGCGCCCTTCCATGTCAAGAAGTAATTGGTCAATTCAAGTGTCCCCACGGCTAAGGACTGTTGATTCACTCACAAGTCACCTCATCCACTTGGTGCATGCCTCTCATCCCCTCGCTCCCTTCCGTGCATCCCCATGTGAGCCGCCCTCCAGCTATGGTGTGCTGCTGCTCGAGATGGTGACGGGGCGGCCAGCCACGGAGAGCGACCCAAACGACCAGACCTGCATCAGGCACATCACCTCCTGGGTGAGTTGTCATGTCCACATCAGCACATGGGTGAGCTGCCATGTCCACGTCAGCGCATGGGTGAGCTGTCCCGCCATTTTATCGCTGCTTGATGATTGCAGGAAGCAGTACCACATGCCCATGCCCATGCCCATGCCCATGCCCATGCCCATGCCCGTGCCCATGCCCATGCCCATGCCCATGCCCATGCCCATGCCCATGCGCCTCCCAGCCTGACGCAAGCCAGCCAGTGCATACTGGAAGATGTTACTCACATGCTGCCGAACCATGCAACCCTGAGCCGCACGCCTCCATCAGAGCTCGCCCCACCACGAGGGGGTTCCTTGTCTTCTTCTTGTGCCACGTCTCACCACTTGTGTACCTTGTAATCGCCCCTTCCCTTCCCCCCTCATCCAACACCTCCTGCCACCGCCAGGCGGTGCCATCCCCCTTCCATCCCTCCTCCACCAGCCGTGCCGTACATCCCGCAGGGGACGTCTGAGCCATCTGTCATATCTTTTTGCCCGTCGCCCCTCCTTCTCATCCCCTCCACCAGGTGGTGCCGTACATTCGATTTGACCAATCTGCAATTTCATGTTCTCCCCACCTTGCATCTCAAACCCTCTCACCACTCCCCCCTCTTCCCACCACCAGGCGGTGCCATACATCAATCAAGGGGAGATCCGAGAGGTAGCGGACGCGCGCATCGCCTCGCCGCTCAACCTGCCCTTTCTGCTGCGGATGGCACGCACCGCCGCCCTCTGCGTGCAGCTGCCGTCCACGCGCCGCCCGGACATGGCTGAGGTGGTGCGCGTCATGCTGGACGCCCGCCGCACCTTCCATGCCGCTGCCGCCGCCGCTGCTGCCGGCGCTGCTGCCCTCGCTGCTGCTGGCGGTGGTGCTGGCGGGCCGGGGGTGCAGGTAGGGGAAGCGGGAGAACCAGGAGGAGCAGGGCCTGTGGGCCTGGCGGCTCATATCTCAAGAGGGATTCTGGGTGTGGCAGGGGCGCTGGGTGGGAAGGGGAGCCCGCGAGGTCAAGAGGGGGGGAGGAGTGGGCTTGTGGGTGCCAGCGGCAGGGCGCTGGGGAGTGAGAGCATGAAGAGATGGGTGCATTACTTTGGCGGCGGGGGGGGAGGGCGGAGTAGGCAAGAGAGTGATCGCTTCGAAGAGATTGACCCAGAGGGCATGGTGCCCACCAGGAAAGGGGGAGACAGTATCCCTGTGGAGCCTGACGATGGGTATGCGGTTACCACTGGTAACCAGGGCTGACGCTATCAGACTAAATAGTCTGATTAGTCTGACCAATCCGGCTATTGAGCTTGTGAACATTGTACTTCCAGTGAAATCAATATTTCATCCCTGAGAGCCTCAGTGTTGTTGTTTTTAGGCCCCTGATATAGTGTAATAGGCATCAGACTTAGTCGTTGCTGGAGTCTGGCTCTACAGAGTATACAGTCTGTGGTCCCTGTATGCCGGTCTATCGAGAGGGAGCTTCCTCGAAATTTCTTGGTGCGGCATGGTGCGGCCAGCATGCCAAGTTCGATGATGACTCTGCAGCCACGCGCACCGCGCCACCCTCACGTAATGTGATGGGTGGAACGCGATTGGTGACATGGCACAACAGCAATGTGTGGTGGCATGGTTGAGATGAATGTGGCCTTCAATCCAAAGCCTGGTTCAATCTTCGAACCCCACCACCAGGCTTCGTGAGCCCTTTTCGTGGCGGCGCGGCTTTCGTTCCGTCTGCTCCAGCTGGTCCTTTGGAGATGAAGGGGGTCTCCCACATTCACATATTGTTTCCACTCGCATTAGTTCTGTTCCATCTTTTCCTCACGCCATGGCTTCCTTACCTCCCGCGGAGGACTCGCCTGAGACCGTCCCGGAGAAGCCTCCCGATCGTAGGGTTAGCGGCCTAGACTTCCTTCGACCTTGCGTAGCTCCACTCACACCAGAGCCTCTTGTTACCGCTGCTGTTGTTAATACCGACGCTGACCCATCGTCCAGCAAGGAGCCGCAACCGGCCCCCAATCCCGCGCCTCCTCCAGCGCCGTTTTCTCTCCCTCCCGCCATCGCGTCGTCAAGCAAGGGACCGGCACCGCCGGCCAATCCCGCGCCTTCCCCAGCGCCCTTCACTCTCCCTCCCGCCATCGCGTCGTCCAGCAAGGGGCCGCAACCGCTGCCCAATCCCCCGTCTGCTCCAGCGCCGTTAATTATCTCACCCGCCATCGCGTCGTCCACTAAAGCGCCTCCCTCTGCAGTTGGTAGCAGCGGCTGCAACGATGTCGCTCCCGCGTCCGAGGGTCGTACGGCTAAGAAGGCGCGCACGGTTTTACTCCGAGGCAAGTTACAGCAGAGCACGTTGACATTTGGCGGTGTGCGCGTGCCACCCCCGAGTGCACCCGAGGAGGAGGAGGCCGAACCTGAGGAACCAGAGGACATACCTGTACGTGCAGACACCAACTCCCCCGTTCTGTCCAAGGCTGAGTTGATGGAGCAGAGGTACATTGAGGCAAGTGTCAAGTACAACACGCAGTGGTTGCCCAAATTCCCGTGGATGCTCTTGCTTCGCGCTAAAGATGGTGGTCCTAGTGTTAAGTGCAGCGTGTGTCTCTCATTCGGCAAGGAGACAACCAAGTAATCAGGTCCTGGTGACGGCGGTCGAGACCTGCAGACGCAGACGATGCGCATCCACGAGCACACAACGGTCCACAAGGAGGCGATGCAGCGTCAGGCGGAGATTGCGGAGGCGATTTCGAATGGCCAGACGAAAATCAATCGGTTCATCAACGCGGACGTGGAGGGTTGGCGTGCGATCCGGCTGATGCGGTCGGTGCAGTTTCTTTGCCAGGAGGACGCGCCCATCAGCATGTTCCCGAAGCTGATGAGGCATCTCGCAGAGCATGACACCCCCGACATCCCGAAGCAAGCTTACGGGGTGTAACTCACTCGGTAGGGCATGTATGTTTTCTGTTTTGGGTTTTATGTCATGTCTCCCACCTACGACTAATGTCCTTGTTCGTTATACCCTCTGCAGATACGGTTTCCAGCAGATGGTACACTGCCTCAGCACCTGGTTGACTCAGCAGCAGATGCAGCACATCGCCTCTTCGCCCTTCCTCGGTTTGAGCACAGACGAGAGCACCGACCGGACTCGCGGGAAGCACATGATAGTCTACATCACGTTCCTGCACAACTGTGGTGTCGTGACTGAATATCTGACCCTTCTCACTGTCGAGCGCTGTGATGCAGCTTCTCTCCTGTCGGTGCTCCGGAACCACTTGCACACTGCCAACATTGACCTCAACCGAGTGGTGGGCATCAGCACGGACGGCGCGTCGGCAATGATTGGATGCGACAATGGGCTCGTGACAAGGCTGCGGGAACATGTGCCGCATCTGGTGTCCACGCACTGCATCGCCCATAGGTGATGCAACCCATTATGGCTCCACCATGTACTGTCTCTATCTGTGTAACACAAAGCACATGCAACCATCTAACTCTGTGTATCTGAACTGCAGGGAGGCATTGGCGGTGAAGGATGCGGCAACTTCAAATCCAGACCTGGCGATGATGGACACCGTGGTGCGCACGCTTGCTGAACACCTGGGCGCCTCCAGCCACTGGAGCCAGCGGCTCAAGTACCTGCAGCGTGTCATTTATAACACGAACCTCGAGGTCCAGGGAATCCACAGCGTGCGCTGGCTGTCCCGGGGCGACGCGATGAAACGACTGTGCAAGGTGCTGGGCGCTGCGATAATTCTCTTCCACGAGAAGGAGCACGACTTGTACGAGACAATGACATCGTACAAGTTCCAGTTCTGCCTCTTCTTCCTCGCAGAAATCCTCGGCGACCTTAACGATATGAACCGGTCGTTTCAGAAGCGGCAGGTGAGGCAGCGTTGTATGTGTGGCCATGATTTTCGTAAAATCCTATACTAGAATTCTGTTGTTGTTGTTGCAGGTCGATATTACCGAGGTGGCAAAGACCGTCAAGTCCATCACGGGCGACCTCAAGCACAGGTACATTGACAAGAAGGCGGACTTCGGTGGGTCTGGCAACGGTTGGCTACCAAAATTCCTGAAGCTGTATGGGAAGAAGTCGGGCCAGATGGTCAAAGTGCGGGGCGCGGATTCGGAGGGCCGCCCGGAAAACCACTCGTACATCCTGCATGAGAGGAAGCTGAAGGACCACAAGTACAAGAGCGGCTACAAGGCGTGCGTGAAGCTGTGCCGCAAGTTCGCAAAGGACGTCGTCGACTGTCTCCTGTTTCGCCTGGACGACCTGCGGGGGATGGGTCCAACTAAGCTGTTTCGCGCGTCAAAGTGGCCGAAGAGCAAGCATGCGCGAGACCGCAAGTGCCAGGACTGGCTGACAGGTTGCAGCGCCCTGTTCAAGAACGAGCTCCCTGGGTTTGATCTCAAGAAAGCCTCGCAGGAGCTGGCAACCTGGTGCCCAATCATGGAGGCGCACCACGAGGACGAGTCATTTGCGTAGGGACTGGCGAACTTCATGGGGAGCGGCGATGCCAAGAGGTAGGTTGACCGAGTATGCGTTTGCCACAAGTTTATTTTGCAAACTAACGCACCTGCAAAACTGCTTCTCGTCTTGGCAGGCGATGGCCCAACCTGCTGCTGCTTTGGCAGGCTCTCGCAGTCCTGCCACTATCCACGGTGGAGTGCGAGCGGGGGTTCTCGCGCCAGAACGTGATCAAGTCGTGGATCCGCGGGTCACTCTGCAACGCGCGGCTCGGGGAGCTGATGCAGATCTCACTGCTGCAGTACGAGATGGACTGGCCTGGGGTGCTCGACACCTGAAAGAGCCTCAAGAAGAGGCGTCCCGCGCAGAGCGTCTTGTTCTCTTCAGACGATTGGAAGCGCAAGGAGAAGGAGCCGGAGGAGGAGGAGGAACCCATCGAGCCGGCAGGCGAGGAGGAGTTCGCTGAGTCAGACGACGACCGTGACGACAACATGGAGATGGATCAGGAAATTGAGCAGTCGCCGCCCCGAGATTACTCAGAGGAAGAAGATAACCCCTTCCTATCGGATGGCGAGGAGGGAGAGGAGGAGATGTATCACATAGACATGCCGACAGAGTAGGATTCTTACTTAGTGTTGTGCTGTGTATTGCAGAACCCGCCGGGCATTGTTGACAGTGCAGGTGTAATAAAAAATAATTGTAGCAACAAGACTCTGATCATAGTTAGCCAACCCTGTGACATCAGTGAAGGAGTCCCCTGGAGACTGAGCCATCAGAGTGGTCGAAATCTGGTCGAACCCCCCTCAGTGTTAAAAAAAAAAAAAAAATTAGAGCCATCAGAGTACCCAAATTTGAAACGTCAGCCCTGAGCAGTGCTGGTACTGCTGATGGGGACAAGAGGTCAGATCGACCTTCCCCTTATCATCTTTGTCCTTGACGAAGAAGTACCACAGCGCGATGTGCTTGGTGTGGCTAAAGGTTGACGAATCCCGGTTTGTTCGTGATTCTGATCGCGCTCTGGTTGTTGCAGTGCAGGCTAAAGGTTGGCGAGGTTGGAATTTTTGCCTCCTGTAGAAGCTCCTGTAGATAGAGCCCTTGGCGAACTGCTGCTGTCGTGGCGATAAATTCTGCTTTAGTCGATGACAAGCCAACAGTTCTTGCTTCTGCGAGTTCCAGGAGATGGGGCCTATTGGCTCGAGGCGAAATAGGAGCCTGGTTCTGGACCGTCGATTGTCGCGGTCAGCAGCATGATAGGCGTCCACGTAGCTGATGAGGGAGTTATGACTGTGGAGTACCAGAGCCCAATGTTGGGTGTGGAGATAAAGAATTGCAGGGCGCACTGAAGATCTAGAAGATTTTCAGCCGTTGGTTTGCACTGAGGAAGTTGGCTCGCGATGTACGAAAGATCCGGTCTGCAAGTCACTGAGGCAAAGAGCAGGCATCCCAGTTGCCGCTGGTAAGTGTGAAGGCCTGCGGGGGATAGGGCTTTGTTGTCGGGTTTTAGTTCGGTCCGGGCGTGTGGTAAGGAGTGACGAGTGGCTCAGGGGAGATATTGAACTGCTTCTCAACTGTTTCAGTGTACTTGTTGCGAGTGCAATTGAGCGAGCGAGCGAGAATTGCACTATCGAAGCAAAATAGTACAATCGAGCGAAGGAATGAGCGAGAGCTTAAACAGCGAAGGCCACAGTGGTAACGGTAACGAACTGTGGGTGACGGCTACGGGCCTGTGACAGAGGTTGGAGCTGTGGTCGGGAAGTGTCGAAGCGGAGGCCCGGAGCGCGGGTTACCAGCCGAGCCGCGAGGTTGGGTTGCGACGAACGAGGTGGCGGGAAATGGTCGAGGCGAGTGTCGCGAGTAGTAACGGTGCACAGTGTGGCGAGAGTAGTAATGTACGCGCTAAGCAGGGATGCGGCGTAAGGAAATGGAAGTTTCCTTACACTACCCCACCCCCGAAGGAGGCCCTCCTTACGAGAGTGCGTGTACATCCCGGAAATTGCGGCTGCGCAGATAGTTGGTGAGGACGGGGTGGTTTTCAATTTTGTCTAGGGTACCCAATTGTCTTCGGTCGGCGTGCAGTCTTTCCAGCGGATCAGGAACTCGATCCTGCGAGCTCCACATGGGTTACGAACTCGGTGGCTTAGGATCTTCTCGGGTGTGATGATTGGCTTGGTGGGTGGTCGTGTCATGCTGGCTGGGCGGTTGCAAGGCAGTTGGCTTGTAGACGGTACGTAGGGGCGAAGCAGGCTGGCGTGGAATGACGGGCTGACGAACTAGTCAGCAGGGAGGAGGAGGTGGGCGGTAACGGGGGTGATCATGTGGCTGATGCAAAATGGCCCGCAATATCAAGGGCAGAGTTTTGGGGTGATGGGCAGGCGGAGGTTTTGAGTGTCGAGCACAACGAGGTCGTCGGGCTGGTAAGTGACTAGGCGGCGGTGGCGGTCAGCATTGCGTTTAGCGATGACATTCGATTTTTTTTATTGCGTCTGCTGCCCGGGTTCGTGCTTCCTGTAGAATTTCGGCGAACTGTTGCGCGTGTGGTATTGGGTTGTCGGGATTCGGGGTCATGGGTACTGTGGTGTCTTGTCCGTAGTTTAGGTAGAAGGGTGACTGTTGGGTCGTGGCGGATGGCGAGTTGTTGTGTGCAAATTCGATGAGTGGCAGCTGTTGTTCCCACGTGGTCGGGTCGTCGCACGTGGCTCGAATCAATTGTTCCATCGTCTGATTTGTCTGTCCATCTGTTTCGGGGTGCCACGTGGTCGGATCGTGTGCCACGTGGTCGGGTCGTCGCACATCGGTACGATGAGCTGAATTGCAGTCGTATGCCGAACTGCTGCCACAGGTTCCGCCAGAAGTTGCTGGTGAATTTCGTGTCTCGATCGCTGATGATAGCTGCTGGTATCCCTTGCAGTCGAACGACGGTGGTGATGAAAAGCTGAGCTGTTTCTTCGGCCGAGATTGATTTCTTGCAGGCTGCGAAGTGTGCCATTTTCGTCAACCGATTAACGACAACCAGGATCGCATCGTCACCTGCTGCCAAGCACGCTCTGGGGGTGGTATCGGCTGCAACTGCCCTGCCGGCCGCTCTCGTGATGATTTCATGAGTTGGCAGGTGGGACACGATGCCACGTGTCGCTGTACGTCGGTCAACATCTCGGGCCAGTGATAATACCGCTGCAAATGCTGCCGTGTTTTTTCTTCTCTGAAATGGTCTGAGGTAACCCCGTCGTGTGCCTCCTGTAGTAGCAGCTCCCTTAGTAAAGTGTAGCCCTGTACCCAGATGCGATCGGTGCCGGCTTTTGCATAATAAACCCCCTTTGCTGCTGCGAACTGCTGCAAGTTTCCTCCGGGTTGGTGTGGTAGCCGTGGGTAAATAGTCCTGTGAGCAGTGGGCTGGTCTGGGCGAGTAGTATGGCGTGGATTTGGGCAGTGGGGCGGGTCAGTGCGTCGGCGATGTTTGATCCCCCCTTTTTGTAGGTGACTGTATAGTGGAAGTTTGACTCGAGGAAGTCGAGCCAACGGACCTGTCGTGGGTTGAGGTGGGGCTGTGCGCGAAGGTACTGTAGAGATTTATGGTCTGTCCATACTTTCACGTCTGCGCCGGTCAAGTAACAGCGCCAGACCTTGAACGCGTGCACGATCGCGAGCATTTCGCGGTCGTGTATCGGGTAATTCTTCTCGGGCGGATGCAGTTTTCGTGACTCGTATGCGATGGGCTGTAGGCCGTTGCCGAAATCCTGTAGCAGTACGGCTCCGATGGCGATGTCGCTTGCGTCAGTGACTACTTCGAATGGGCGGTGTGGGTCGGCAATGCGCAGGACGGGCGGTGAACAGAGAACAGTTTTCAGGGCAGAGAAGGCAGCATGCTCTTTCTCCCCCCACGTAAAAACGACCCCCTTCCACAGCAAATCTGTCAGTGGCGCCGTTAACCGTGCCATGTCGGGGACGAACCGACGCACACAGTTAACGAACCCTAAAATACTTTGTAACTCCGTGATGTTTGTCGGTGGGCGCCAGGCTTTTACGGTGTCCAGCTTCTTTGGGTCGATTTCGACTCTAGGCTCCGAAATAATGTGCCCCAGAAACTCTAACCGGACCTGAAAAAACTCGCACTTCGAACCCTTGGTCAGTAGGCGGTTTTCGTCTAAGATTTTTAACACTGCTTCCAAATCCGCTAAGTGTTGCTGTTTGTCGCGGGTGTAAACCAGGATGTCGTCGAGGTAAACTATCACGCACTTATCTAACATTGGTCTAAACGCCTCGTTCATGGTCATCTGAAAGGTCGCCGGTGCGTGGTCGGCCCGAATGGCATCACGCTGTATTCAAAACACCCGTATCTAGTCCTAAAGGTCGTCTTGGCGCAGTCCGATGGTTCGACCCTGATTTGATGGTAACCTCCCGTAAATCTATTTTCGAAAAGACCCGTGCTGTTCACAGTTGATCTATCAGTTCATCGGCGCGAGGAATGGGGTATCGTGACTTGACTGTTACCTTTTTCAGTGCTCTATAGTCGATACACATGCGAAACCCTCTGTCATTTTTCGCTGAGGTGGCAGCCCCTCTGGTAAGTCGTCCGGAAAAATCCTCGGGTACTGTTTCAACAGTTCCTGCAGTTCGGGCGGAACCTCTGCCAGCAGTTTCTGAAAATCACTCGGTTGCTCTGCTTCTCCTACCAATGCTATATCCACTGCGTACACGTCAGCTCCAGCGGCGACAGCCCGTTTCATCGTGTTGGCGTTGACGTAGACCGTTGAAGACTCAGGCGACTGCCAGCGTGGTAGTTCGACCCAGTTACCACTACTTCGCACAGTGCAGCTACCCGTCGTCCAGTCAATTCGCGGGTTGTAGCGTCGCAGCCAATCACGTCCCAGTAAAATGTCGTGCCCATCCAGTGTCGTCGCGAGCATTTCCTGTGTAAACCCGAAGTTCCCCCCGCAGCGAACTTTCCCCCTCTCCACTTTCTCAAGTATTGCCAGTAGCGTGCCGTCAACTAAGCATGCTGTCAAACATTATATATGTTG